CCTGCCCGCACAGCAGCGCTCACCCGCGGGCGCTTGTGCTGCGGGCCGCAGGCGGGCCGTGTGTGACCTCCCTCAGGGCTGCGAGAGGCGCCACCAGCAAGCTTAGGGAGGAACTCTCTTCACACGTAATTCAGGTAAAGCGTTACCTCCCAGCTGCTTTTTCTTAAGGTTCTGAAATGTCATGTGTGCCCATTCATGACTTTAAAAACTCTTCAGAAAATCAGAGTAGAACACGTGCTTGAAAACCCTCCAGTAATAATAAACTATACAGTTCTCTTCTAGACGTAACCACCAGGTAGATTATAAAGAATGAACTGCATTGCCAAAAGCGTTTCGCGGTCAGTTCAGCACGGCCGAGCTGCGTGGCTGAGGAACAGCTCTGCTCGCTCTGGAAAGCAGCGTTTTGGCAGACTGGTTTTGGGAATAGAGACGAGCTGCGATGACACCGGCGCTGCTGTGGTGGATGAAGCTGGCTGCGTTCTGGGAGAAGCACTGCACTGTCAGAAGGAAGTTCATTTACAGTAAGAACAGACTTCTCTCAAGGCTTCTGCCTTAATAAGGATTTTATTGTTATTGTTACTTATCATCCATAAAAAAGTCTTCCCTGCCCCATAAAACTCTGTAAGTGGTGGGTAGGTGTGAAGATGTATTGCTTGGGCCACGACACATACTGCCTGAGATAGTTATGAGGGGGAGGGAAGAAATGCCATGCATTTAACAAGTTTCCTTCAGTATTTTCTTTCAAAGAGAGACAGATTACTTCTCTAGCTTGTGAATAAAAGTTGAAATCATTGCTACTGTTAAAATCAGCAAATGCCATGACTTTTTAAAGGAAAAATTAATCAAATATAAGCATTGGTGGTTAAGAACGTGAACTGACAAGTGAGGGATTGTGAATATTAATTTTGGAAGTGTTGAGATACATTTAAAAAGCATCTGTACCAAAAAAGGGCAAGTTACATCCTTTTCTGGCCTTCCACTGATAATTATGCTCTCTTCAGTGCCCTTGACACTAAACAAGGCATTTGAGAATGCAATGAGGAAACAGGCAGGATACACCAAGGTTAAGAGGTGCCTGACAACTATTTTTATGCCATTCTATCTGTTATGAACTACCAATGCATTGTAATTCCTTGGTTTCACTAGAGCAGGCGGAATAATTCCCGTGGTGGCACAGCAGCTTCACAGAGAAAACATAGAGCAAGTGGTTCAAGAGGCCCTTTGTGCCAGCGGCGTTTCTGTGGCCGAGCTTGCGGCTGTGGCAACCACAGTGAAACCTGGGCTCGCTCTGAGCCTGGGTGTGGGGCTGCAGTACAGCCTGAGCTTGGTCAACAGGCACCAGAAGCCCTTCATCCCCATCCATCACATGGAGGCTCATGCACTGACCATCAGGCTCACACATCACCTGGAATTTCCCTTCTTAGTTCTCCTAATCTCTGGAGGCCACTGTCTCTTGGCAGTAGCACAGGGAGTTTCAGATTTCCTCCTGCTTGGACAGTCCATCGACATTGCACCGGGTGACATGCTGGATAAGGTAATATTTCCTTTCCTTACCTTTCCTTAGCTGTTCTCTTATTTTTATTGCATTTATACACATAGGGGTAGTATTATCATCAGCCTGAAGACAGCAATTCAATGCAATACAAGTTTTATGTCACTTTTTTCTATTTTGAAATGTCATAGATTTAAAATATGAAAGACTGTTCAAAATGTACACGAAATATCAATTGTAATATATGTATATTAATTATATTAATATTAATAAATATTAATTATATTTTAGCAAACAGGCAACATAACCAAAACTCATGTTGGATATTTCATTGACATGGATTATACAAACAATTTGTATTATTTAGAGAAGATTTATAGAGGTATTTTATAGAGATGTTATTGTGCTACCAGGTTTAAAACAATGCATGTTAAAACATTTCATACTAATTTTAGATTTTAGAGTTTGAAAAGCATGGTTTGGCCTTCAGGATCTCAGGTTTTCCCTGAGTAGAGTCTGTAAAATTGGCCACTTACGGCATCGTTCTGTTTTTAAACAGTATTTGTGCACATTATTTAAAAACTTGGGGGGGTACATGGAGTCAGAAAGGGGACTTTCAAAAGTTGAAACCAATCTTGTTCTTGTGTATCTGGTAATACAGTATGACAGAGTGTGTGTATGTGTGTTTCCTATAGCACAAAAACAGAGTAAGTCATATTTCCTGCAAAATTTGTTTGTTGATCCTTGTTTGTCCAGATTATTCTAGAATTGCATTTCTAAATGCTCCAAGAAACAAAAAAAATCCTGCTGGGTTGGTGTTATGTCTTACCCTTACCATGCCCTGTTTGTAATTTCACATTGGATTGGATTTTTTGGTGTCACATTTTACTCCATGGACTGTAGTCCAGTGATGTCACTGCAGAAGGAAGTTCAAGTCCAGGAGGAACTCATTCCTGTTCTGTTTGTCATCTCCTCAGGTGGCACGAAGACTGTCTCTAAGAAAGCACCCGGAGTGCCTCAGCATGGCAGGGGGGAAGGCCATAGAGCACTTGGCTCAGACTGGGAACCAGGAACTGCTCACCTTCCGACTGCCCATGCAGCAGTATCGGAACTGCGACTTCTCTTTCTCCGGACTCCAAAACCTCGTCAATAATGCCATTGTACAGAAAGAAAAAGAAGAAGGTAGTTTTAGGCAGTCAGATACGAACTGAGCTTTTGATGACCTACACTCAGGAATCCCCTTTGATGATATACTTTTATAGGTATTCAGGAAGGTGAGATCCTGTCCTGTGTTAAGGATGTTGCTGCTGCCGTACAGCACGCAGTGACTGTTCATATTATCCAGAGGACGTATCGAGCCATGCTCTTCTGCATCAAAAACGGCATATTACCATCCAAAACTGCCACTTTGGTGGGTATGCTTTTTTTCCCCTTTTTATATCTGAATCTGTAGCATCATTTGAAGATGCAGATGCCTTGTACTTTCTACCTTGACATATGAGAGAGTTCTCAGTATGTATTATATTTTTAAAATACCAACAATATTGAAGTAAATATAAATATTTAGCTGGGTTTTAAGCTAGAGAGATTTTCTTACCGCCTAACCTAACCTCACATAACAGCTTAACCTTGTGCTCCCCAATACTTGATGGCTGTTCTACTTACAATAGAATCATAGACTCAGTTAGCTTGGAAAGAACCTTCAAGATGATCCACTTCCAACGCTCCTGCCATGGGCAGTGACACCTTCCATTAGACTGACATGCTTCAGGAATGTGTTTTTGCATAATAAGCTTACTTAGCATACTCTTTTCTGGTATGTTTTAATCTTCAAATGCAGTATATATTGTTGTCTTTAGAACTTCAGCTAATAACCATTTTTTAAACACGGTGCTAGCTGTGTGTGACGAATCAGTACTTTTGAGTTAATGCCTTTTTTTCTTTTTGAAATGCTGTCAGGTTGTATCAGGAGGAGTTGCAAGTAATCAGTATATCCGAAAAGGTCTACAGAACCTGGCAGATGCAAATGATTTTGCTTTACTGTGTCCTCCCCCGAGACTCTGCACTGATAATGGTGTTATGATTGCATGGTAAGAATTTTTTCTCTTTAAACATTACAAGAGCAATGTGAAGTTGACATGAGAGTCAAGAACCTCTCTTTGTGCTGACTGAACGATGTGCTGATATGCAGAGTTGTGACATCCATTTTTATGTAATTGTTTTGTTGCTCAGGAATGGCATTGAAAGGTTACGTGCAGGACTGGGTGTTCTACACAGTACTGCTGGCATCCGCTATGAGCCAAGGTAAGTGACATTCCCAGCCTCCTTCCTCATTGCTCACTGTGGGCACTGAAAGGGGAAGAGGTCGCTTGAAAAAGAGGCACAAGCTGCTGAGGAGTCTCTCTGCAGCACATACAAATTTAAAAGTTACTTTCCAAGGCAGTTTTAAATACAGATGATTGTGGCATGCATTTATGTTCGTTTTGGCTCAGAAATTTAATTTTACATACACTCTAACAGTTCTATGTGTTTTCCTACGATGATTGTATAGATGTTAGGCTTAAGGCCAAACAAAATGCGGATATTTCAAAAGTACCAGCTGGTCTTTTTTTTTTTTAGGCTATTTTTCCTTTTCAGAAAAACACACTTGGATGGTCTCAATACAAAAAAAAAAATTATTTCATTTTTCACATGAAAAATTATATGCTACTTCAAAAATAATTTGCTGTATGTATTTCAGTGAGTAAAAAACTAAGTTTTACTTGCTGTGGACAATACATTATTTAAGATTATCATAGGAGATACCTGTGAATCTCTAGTGTGTTTTGCATTCATCAGCAAGACATAAAATGAACTATCAACTAAAATCAGAATCTAAATAAAACAACAGCCCCACAATATGGCTTTGAAATCACAACTGTGTTTCTAGAGTTTCAAATGGCCACAAACACAAATATTTCTTCATTGTAAAGATGTTTCCATGTATAGCATCAGATAGGCTATTTTAAATAGTCACAGTCTTAGAAGTGCAGGGAATGTACCAAAATACTTTGACTCTCCTGCTAATTGTAAAAAAGGTCTGTGAAGCTGTACATCTGTCTGATATGGCAATGACAGTGTTAAAAATTAACAAATACATAATTTTGTTTTCTAGAGCTCCCCTGGGAATTGATATTTCAAAAAGAGTTGAAGAAGATTCCATCAAAGTGCCAAAATTAAAAACAATACGATGGTTGGCATCTTAAAAAGTAACTTAATAAAATAAATGCAACTATAAATTGTTCAATGAAAAGTGTGTAAATGCTGTTATGTTTAGTGACAATGCCTGGATTACAAGTGTTGAAAATCACCTGTCAGAGAAACAAATGCTGTGTTGCTGTCACCAAAGTGATTCCAGTTACTATTCCAAATGAAGCATTCTCAGTATTAAACCATAAAAAGCTTAAAAGCAAGGATGCATTCATGGTGACTTCCTCATACCCGTACACCTGTACAAATCTGATTATTAATAATTATGTCCAAGTGTGTAAAAAAACACAAACCAAACATTCTTAGAAAACTTGAAAGATTTACTGACTTTGTGCATAGAGTAAGTGCAACATCACAAGATACAGCTCTATAATTCATCTACTGCAGGTAACTTCAGTCTGCTGCATGTGTCAGATGCTTTTTCACTGTTGCTCTCCAGTTTTGCAATCCGAGATCCAAACTGTACTGCCCTTTTTGGCAGAACAGTTGAGGCTGTCAGGCCCAGTTCTTTGGCTGCAAGGCGCAGAATCAGTTTCTCACCAATTCCTCGAGGTAAAGTCAAATCAGCTTTTTCTGAGACAGGCAGAGAATTAAGGAATGAAACAACATCTTCATCAAGAAAAGGAAACCTGAAAGAGAGATTTACATGGGGAAAGACCCTTTAAAAATTCCATAGGAATAGTCTTGGTTTTCCCCTTTACCACATGTAAAGACCATATGAAACTACGCTGTAACTTTGAAACTAAAAGATTTCCACAACAAATGCTGGTATCATTCTGAATTTCAGGCATTCATACCTAATCATGTGCGTGGTTAAGAGCACTGCACATCCACCACTGAAACTGTTCTTGTGCTGAACTCAAAATGTGCAAGTAAAAACAGATTTGGAAAAACACTGACACAAAGATCGCATGAAAAAAACCTTTCATGCACCTGAATGGCCTCTGCTCCTGGACAACACCTAACGAATTTGTTTCAATTTGACAGTAGCATGGAGGAAGTAGACACAAAATGATTCTTCTGCTCTATAGACTTAACAGCCAGGACACATGGTGAATGTTACCTATGCCTTTACTGCATGGATAGGAATACACAGCTTCTGTTACAATGTCATTCTCCAGAGACACTCCCCAAAGGTCCACACCGGAACAAAGCAAAACTTTGTGTTTAGCTTAAAATAAAACCAGCTTGACTTTGCCTATTTCAACATCTGTTGCTACTTTTTAAAACTTCTAGATGGAAATCAAGTGCTAAATTTCCTAAAGTAAACTCTTCCACAATATACTACAGTCCACTTTTTTAAAAAACAAAACCAAAAACTGCCCAACACGGTACACATTAACAAAATTGCAACAGAACTAGAGACAATAAAACACACAGAAGTTTCAATTACGACTTTGTTAGGGGCGTTAAAAACTGCATCTAACCAGCAAAACCAGTTTTGCTCCATGTTAAAACAGTAATACCTGGCTTCTTTTCCATGATCACCGATAATCCTGTCATCTCTACCAAGATTTCGAGAAGAAATGCGGCCTAACTCCATTTCAAGTTCTTTATTAAGACCCTCTAAGCCATCTTTTCTGAAACACACACGATGTCGAGCATACCCAGCAAGCTGCTCATCAGCTCCAATTCCTGTAAGCACAACCTGAGGAAACAGAGAATAAGAAACCTTAGTATCTAAGCAAGTTAGTATGTAGCAGACCTTAAATGTTTAACTTCATCTTAAGGAGAAAAATTTGAATACACATTTTTTAAAGATATTACCTATCAGGATGGGCTGTGCCTTACACATTTACAAAGCCTGAAACAATTCCAAGTAAAGTCACTGGTAACTTGAATTATGTTCACAATCAGACCTTAAAGTACATGCAAACACAGAACAAACTAAAAACATCAACATAATGCCATATGTATCACAAATACACCAGTATATTTGAAGAATGTCTTTGGTAGTTTCTATGATAATACACAACATTTGTTAAACACCAGCCTTTAAAAATTATTGCCAAAGATCACGTCATATGCTGTAGTTACCTGAACGTACACACACAATATTATTCATTTACCAGCTACTGGGTTACTAACAACTATGTTACACAAAGTAAAAATGGTTTACACTACTCAGTAAGAAGGGTAAAATGTTTTATCAAGAGAAAAACAATGATTACATCTGGCCCATTACTGTGCCTTCAACAGCTGAAATTAAACAGTTCCTTCTTCCCAACATTAACCACAGGAACAGAGAAGTGAGAAATCAGAATCAAAAATTACAGTGGTTATTTTTTTCCTACTCATAATATTGCATATCCAAGTTCACTGAAAAGACATGTACATTACATGGCAAAAGAACTGAACGTGATTTTTAACTCTAGAATTACACAAATTTTAGAATTATAGAATATTCTACATTCTGACACTGAATTTCAGAAGCCTTATGAAAAACAAAGATCCCAGCTGATTTCCGAAGTCAAACATAAGGCAGAAAACAAAACGAAACAGTACCTTTGCAGGACTTTTATATGGTTTCAGTTCTCCTTGGTTACTAATGAAGCCCTCTCCTCTGGCAGCAAACCAAATTGCACGTTCTCCTTGGTTACTAATGAAGCCCTCTCCTCTGGCAGCAAACCAAATTGCACAGCCAATACTGTCATCTAGGACTGTATCCAGTGGATAGATTAAGGAATTAATACGCTGTTTTCTCATTTTTTTCAATTCCTCTAGTGTAACATTAATTTCCACAAAGTTCCAGGTTCTTGAAGGGTTAATGGCTTCTAATTCCTTCAGTCCTGCCCTACCAGTGATTCTGTCAGGAACATCAAAGCAAGATAAATGAGTACCAGTGTCAGCATCAAGATCTTGACAACTCTCTTGAGGACAAAGCAAATGGAGCTGTACTTCATGGCTGGTATGTCTTTTAGTGGTAGCCCTGTGCTTAGCTTGCTCTTTCATCATGAAAGCTACATTGAGAAGATCAATTGGCTCCTCCAAAGGCACATGTTTATCAGCCAGGGCTGCAATAACCATGGAATCAATGCCACCAGAAAAGAGCACTGCAACATGTGCTTTCTTATGAGACATGCTTGGAACTGCTCTTGCTTTTTGATCTGGATCTCTAAAGAGACACAGGACTCTTCTCTTGACTGCTTCATTTAAAACATCAATAAATCGACATGCTAATTTTTTCTTGTGTTCCTCTGCAAGAAATTCTTGAAGGGTTTCTACAGAAACCACACAGTTAATGTTGCTAAAACTAGAGCCTGGACATGCCCCTGAAGATTTAGAAACTACTTTATTTAAAGGGATAACTGGTGCTCCAAGACACAGCTTTGATTCATTCAGCACAAGACGTACGTGATTTGGTAAGTCTTTTGACACTTGATCAATGCATGTTTCTTCTGCAGCTTTCTCTCTGCAGCTGTACTTCCATGGAAACAATGTTAAAGACAAAGATTTACTTGCTGCACAAGCTTTGAGATCAATTTTGAAAATTCCAGATGCTGGGACTTCTTGCCATTGGTTGCCTGATTCAGAACAACCACTTACAGATGTGAGACAGAATGCGCTGTCAACCTCATGACTGAACTGCCAAAGCAAACTACGACGACCAAAGTAATCTCTGCCAAACCATAAATTGTGTCTGGATGCTTCATAATAGATAAAAGACCAGGGACCCTGAAGTGATGAGAAGAGTGACAAAATGTCCATTTCACTGCTGCATGAAGCCAGATGATGAAATATTACTTCAGTATCATTCTCTAGATTTCCTACATGAATTCCACTGAAAATTTCCCCATTCCAAAGAAAAATATTGTTATTGGCATCTTCCAGAGGCTGAGGAGTCAGCAGCCCCCTCAAGTGAAGTACGTGGCCTGAAAACAGACATTCATAAGAGAAATCAGACACAGTTTTTATCAGCTGTTGGCTACTGTCTGGTCCTCTTCTTCTCAGAAGGCAAAGGATGTCTTCACTGAGGAAATCATGAATCACACGCTGGCTGCTCAAGGTAACAACACAGCAAATACCACACATTGCAATGGGGAATTCACATGAACTACTTCTTGATTTTAGCCTTTTCTGAATTTTCCAGCTCCTGATGTGCCTTCTTTAATTCATCTAACGTATCTGTGTGAGAGAAGAATCACACAAATAATCAGTTTCATAAACAGGAAAGTATATGCATAGATAAGTTTAAGAGTATATCTACAAAATTAATAATTCCAGCCACTTGTTCAATTAAAGTGATAAACATAAAACACTAATTAAGCAAAGTGCTATGTTTATGTTCTATCATTACTAACACAAGCTATATAAGCTTGCTGTAGCATATTCCTCTTTAATTATACAAAGATAATGTGTTTTTTTTCCAAAGAAAGCCACAGTGAAATAGGGGAATGGCCAACTCCTGCCTATATAATCAGTATGACTTCAACATTTGTAGTGAGAAAAGGGAACTGAGAATTAAAATGGCAACGCTATTAACCCAAATCAAATCAAGGAGAAATAGCAATTGTTCACTCCAGAAAATTAAATTTATACTCCTAAATTTATATTTTTTTAATCCTTGTTCCATCATCACCTCTATTATCCATTCTCCTATTACTTCACATTTGACACAGCTGCAATTTTCTCATTTTAATATATCTTTGAAATCAGCTACAAATACAGCTTTTAAACATTAACTATTTGAGATAATTTTACACTGCAAACTTACTTTTGCACTGAGACAGCATTTCTGTCCGGTCTGCAAGGAAGAATATGTTGCTATTGGGTTGCTGCTTATAAACTTTCTGTAAAACAAAACCCATACTGTATTAAGTCAAAGCAGCAGATTCTGGAACCACACTGCAGCAGAAGCTGGTGTGGATTCAAAGAGACACTCTTGGTATAAAAGTGAAGGGGTAAGTTCTGCCCTGCCAACACCATTACATTCTAATGCTGTACCATCAAAAGCATTTAATGCTCAACGTAAGACAATTCCAAGTTTCCTCATCCACAAGGAATCACATTCTATTTTAAACAAAAGCACAGAAAAAGTAAGAATACCTCATGAATCCTTGTGATCAACTCAAACATCCTAACGAAATAAATGAAACTTAAAAAAGGCAAAAAACTCCAACACTGCACAAGTATACATAACCAAATCATTTGCAGGACAAATTATTCTGAGCACAGCAGACCACATGTTTATTAAAATCT